TTTTTGAGACAGGGTCTCCCTATGCAGTTCAGGCTGGTCTTAAACTCACTTTGTAGCCCAGGCTGCTCTTGAACTTGTAGCAATCCTCCTGCCTCAGCCTCCCGAGTGCTAGGATCACAGGTGTGCACCACCACACCTGGCTCTGGATCATTTTTTCTTCGTTTTGCAATAGTATGTTCCCCATTTCTGCCCAAGATCTCATTAGAATGGCCTTAGCCATCCACATTTCTGCCAAGAAATCTGTTCATAATGACTGAGGTATTTCCAAGGGAGACAGAAACTTTCTCTGTAGCCCTCCTCTTTTTTTCTCTGAGTCCTCGCCAGTCACCTTCAGAGACCCACTCACAACCACACAGACCTTGTCTGCATTATACACCCAGACTCTCCCACCTTCTACCCATTCACTACCCAGGTCCACAGCCCCATCCATGCTGTTAGGTATTTGTTAGAGCAACACCACTCCTTTTGGTCCCAATTTGTCTTGGTCACATTGGGCTGGTACAACCCAGTCCCCCAGACCAGGTGGCTTCTAAACCACAGAAATTTACTCCTCCAGATGCTGGAGACTGGAAGCGGGAAGTTACAGTGCAGCTCAACGAGGTTCTTCTGAGGCCCCGTGCAGGCTGCTGAGTCCTTGTTTCATCCTCACATGGTGAAAAGGGGGTGCGGGGCTCTTGAGGGGCTTTTACAGCATCACTCATCCCACTCGTGGGAGCTGTACTGTTGTCACCTGTCACCTCCCAAAGGGCCCACATCCTAATACTGTCACTTTGGAGACAGGGTTCCAACACATGAACTTGGGGAGATACATTTTCCCATCGCACAGTCCTTTACCTTCTGCAAATAAAACTGCTTCCATTAAACACAAAGCAATGCTGCAAGCTCATCCTCACCTCTCCCATCTGCACTACTCTACCTCCGCTCTTCCTAGAAGTCATTACTTGATAGACTTGGCCCCCCTTCATGGACCTCATGTCTCTCTTTTTTTTTTCAAGGCATGTTTCCACCATATTTAATACCTTTTCCCAATTGTGTCCATTACATCCAGTGGGGTTCTTTTTTGGTTTGGGCTTTGTTTTTTTGAGCTAGGGTCTCCCTATATAGTCTAGGTTGGCCTTGACCTCCTGGCAAACCCCCTGCCTCAGCCTCTGGAGAGTTGCGGTTACAGGCGTGCACTACTGCGCCCACCTAGGGGCAGGTTTTTGTTTGTTTGTTTTTTGGTTTTATGGGACAGGGTCTCACTATGCAGTTCAGGCTGACCTTGAACTCACTATGTAGCCCAGGCTGGCCTCGAAACTCGCAACAATCCTCCTACCTCAATCTCCCAAGTGCTGGGATTACAGGCATGCGCCACCATGCCCGGCTCAGGGGCAGTTTTTTAGCCGCTGTAAATTTTTAATCTATTTTGTCAGGGTTAATATAACCTTAATGCATTGTATCCAAACACAGGATGCTCGCTCTGAGATTTATGGTATTGGGAGAACCACTCACTGTGCCTGTCCCATCCAAAAAATCCAAACGCAAAGCAACATTTTGAGAAACTAGAGAATAAATAAATTTAAGAATGGTTGGGAACAGGCAGGAAAACCTTGCTGGAAGTGCCAGGCCCTGAGAGATGTCACTTACTTCCAACAGTGACACTGTCTTCAGCTCCTTTACAGATGAGCAACCCTGCACTGGGGCGGAACTCTCAACACACCACCCGAAATCCCCAGGGCCGGCTTCCGGAGGGGCGGCGCAAGATGCTGGCGCCCGTGCGCATGCCCCGAAGTGATAACCAATGGGAACTGGGCGTGCGGGAACAGAGGCGGGATTATGTGCTTCCCGAAGGGTGCAATTTCCGAGAATAGCAGAGACCACAATTCAGTCATCAACCAATCAGAGCTACGACGGTCCGCCCTTGCGCCAATTTCTTGCTCCAGTGCGTTGAGAGCTGGTTCAAAATTGAGGACTAGAGGGGCTGGGCGAGCGAGGTTAACAAGGCCAATGTGAAAGAGGCCAGGGGTGGACCGGAGCGTGAGATTCTCCCCAGGCGCTTGAGAGGACAGGCTCTTGGGCCGAACGGGCCGGCCCGCATGCCAGCACGAGAAATCCCCTCCCTGTACTCCGCGCTTCTCCCCCACAAGCAACATGGCGGGGGCAAGATGGCCGCCCCGCCCGCGGTCCGTCCTGGGTGCGGCTCGGCCCGTACGCACCCCTCCCCGTTCCCGGGTGGTCCTGCCAGGTGCGGCTAGGCTTTTCCGAGTCTCAGGGCCTGGGCATGCGCGCCCCGGGGCAGAGCAGCACGCTTTCCCCCCTTTCTGGTCGTTTCTAATGATACAGAAACGTCCTGAACCCAGGCTACATAGTGAGCTTGGTTTTTTGGGGGTTTTTTTTGGTACTGGAAATCGAACTCAGGACCTTGTACTTGCCAGGTAGGCACTTGCGCCGCTGAGCTATACCCCTGGCATACATAGGGAGTTTAAAACCAGCCTGAATTAGTTTCAGCCAGGCTTGGTGTCACACACCTGGACTTTAAATTTGAATCTAGCCAGGCGTGGTGGCGCATGCCTGTAATCCCAGCACTCGGGAGGCTGAGGCAGGAGGATCATTGCGAGTTCGAGGCCAGCCTGGACTACAAAGTGAGCTCAAGCCCAGCCTGAACTGCATAACGAGACCCTGTCTCAAAAAAATCAATCAATCAATAAATTCAAAGCCAGCCTGACTATTTCAGCAACCTATCGAGACCTTGTCTCAAATTTTTAAAATTTTATTAAAAATGGCTGGGAATGTACCTCAGACCAAAGGCCTTGGGTACAATCCCCAATACAAAAAAAGTAAAATAAAATAAAAATCACAACCTCAAACAGCCAGTGATAATTTCCACTGGCTATTTGTTTATTTTTGTGGTTAGTACTGGGGAGTGAACCCAAGGCAGTCACAGTGAACTACACTCCCATCTCTCTCTTTTTTTTTTTTTGTCGTTTTGAGACAGGGTGTCGCTCTGCAGTTCAGGCTGGCCTTGAGGTCACTTTGTAGCCCATGCTCACAGTGATCCTCCTGCCTCAGCCTCCTGAGTGCTGGGATTACAGGAGTAGTCCACCACACCCGGCTGTCTCTTCATTTTTTATTGTGGATGGAATTTCAATAAGTCAATAAAATACCTAGGCTGGACTTGAACGTGCAGTCTTCCTGCCTCAGCCTCCCAGAGTGCTGGAATTACAGGTATGCACTGCCCCACCTGACTTTTGTTTTGTTTTCTTTTGTTTTTGAGACAGGGTCTTGCTATGCAGGTCAGGCTGGCCTTGAGCTCACTTTGTAGCCCAGGCTGATCTCAAACTGGCAATGATCCTCCTGCTTCAGCCTCCTGAGTGTTGGGATTACAGGAGTGTGCCACCATGTCCGGCCACACCTGGCTCTTTTTAAATATTATTTTTTTCCCCCTTGTTGTTAGTACCTATTAATTTTACAATACATTGTGTTTCAACTCATATTTTTGTTTGATTTTTAGAGACAAGGTTCTTGTTCTGTGGTTTAGGCTGGCCTTGAACTCACAGCATTCTTCCTGCCTCAGTCTCCCAGATGGGGGGATTACAGGCTTTGGCCAGCACCCCTGGGCAATTTGTATATTTTGATTAGATGCATCTCCCTTACCTCTCCCTCAGGAGGGTCAGTCTGGACTGGGATGCTCTTGTGGGTACAGGGACTGAGGCTGAGTAATCTCGAGGCTGCAGAAGGCGGGCACGGAGAGCAGGTAGTGGGACCTGAAAGTGTGAAGGAGAAGGGTAGCGAGGGGCTTGGGAGGAGAAGGCTGCTGGGACGAGGTGACGATCCCATAGCTCTTCTATCCAGTGCCGAAGTGAACAGGACAGAGGAGGGCCCAGTTCCTGCTTTGCCCGGATGAGGGGCTGGAGATTCCTGGGAGGCAGATTTTGGTTGTCACCGTGATAATAGTGCTTTGGCATTGAATTGACAGGGGCTTGATGCTGGGGGACAGCCCCACACCACCAGTACTTGAACAGTAATGTCATTTACTAAAAGGACGCCTTACGCCAGGCATGGTGGCACACACCTGTAATCCCAGCACTTGGGAGGCTGAGGCAGGAGGATCACTGTGAGCATGGGCTACAAAGTGACCTCAAGGCCAGCCTGAACTGCATAACAAGACCCTGTTCAAAAAGACTAAAATAAAATAAAATAAAAGGAAGCATCAGACCTAGGTGTGGTAGTGCACATCTGTAATCCCAACACTCTGGGAGGCTGAAATAGGAAGATCCCAAATTCCTGCCCAGCCTGGGCAATTTAGCAGTTTATCCAGATCCTTTCTCAAAAAGAATGTATTTCTTTATTTAGAGACAGAGTCTCAATATGTAGGCCAGGCTGGCCTCAAACTCTTGGCAGTCCTCTTGCCTCAGCCTCCTGAGTGCTAGGATTACAGGTGTGCACCACACATCCTGCCCTTTTTATTTTGAGGCAGGGTCTCGTTTAGTCCAGGCTGGCCTTGAACTTACTATGTAGTCCACACTGACCTCAATCTTGCAATCCTCCTGCCTCACCTCCTGAGTGCTGGATTACAGGCATGCATCAACACCCCAGCAGGAAATTTATCTTTTAAGTGCTTATTTTTTTCCAACCAGATTTTACTGGTACATTTTATTTTTTAATCAGATTTTATTAGTACATTTTAGATGTACATAATGATCACATTCATCATAGAGAATTTGTACATGTACGTGATATAATTTGATTTTTTTCCCATTCCCCTACCCTCACTTCAACTCCTCTCCTCCCCTTTTACAAAAGCTTTGTTTTCACTTTTTCCTACTTTACTCATTTTTAAGGTGCTTATTTTAATTATTTTTGTCTTTTTGAGACAGGGTTTCACTATGCAGTTCAGGCTGGACTTGAATTCACTTTGTAGCCCAGGATGGCCTCAAACTCACAGTGATCCTCCTGTCTCAGCCTTCCAAGTTAAGTGCTAATTTTAGTTTTTGTTTGGTTTTTTTTTGGTACTAGGAATCAAACTCAGGACCTTGTGCTTGCCAGGCAGCGCTGTGCTGATGGGCTACATCGCTGGCCCCAAAATGCTAATTTTAAAAAGACAGCTTGCAAATGCAGCAAGGTTGTCATCCCCTGGTGCAGAGTTAAAGAGGACAGAGGTGGAGGCAGAGAAAGATGGAAGAAGATGGAGAACAAAGACACAGAAGGCTCAGAACAATTTCATCTCGGTCCCTGTGTGACACCTGATAGTTCGGGGACCATTTCTCACAGAAATGGCCTTGGCTACACCATTTCCAAGTGGTGGCACCCAGGGCAAGTTACCTCAGCTTCCCTGGGCTTCAACCTCCCTGCCAGCAAAGTGGGGTAAGAGTTGTGCTCACCCCATGGGGGTCATCCTTGCATGTTAAATGGCTAAGAAGTGGAAGGCACTTGGGAACATCTGAGAAAACAATCAAATTAGGCATGTTGGCCAGGCATGGTGACACACACCTGTAATCCAAGCACTTTGAGAGGCTGAGGCGGCAAGATGACAAGTTCAAACCCAGCCTGGGTAAATTATTATTTATTTATTTATTTATTTTTGTCTTTTTGAGACAGGGTCTCGCTATGCAGTTCAGGCTGGCCTTGTGCTCACTTTGTAGCCCAGACTGGTCTCGAACTTGCAATGATCCTCCTGCCTCAGCCTCCTGAGTGTTGGGATTACAGGTGTGTGCCAGTACGTCCAGCAGCCTGGGTAATTTAGTGATTTAGCAAGACCCTGTCTCAAAATTAAATAAATAAATGAACAATAAAAAAAGGACTGGGCTGGACATGGTGGTGCATGCCTGTGATCCCAGTACTTGGGAATCTAAGGCAGGAGGAGTGCTGCAAGTTCAAGGCCAGCCTGGGATATATAAGGAGATCCTATCCCCAAAAACTAAAATAAAACAAAAAATAAAGGGGGGTCCTGGTGATGTACCTCAGCACAAAGGCCCTGGGGTTTAATCCCCAGTACCACTACTACTACCACTAAATAATAATAATAATTAATACAAAGACATGATTAGATGGGTGTGTTAACTGACATCCATAATTCCAGCTACTTGGGAGGCTGAGGGAAAAGGATTGCAAATGCAAGGCTAGTCTCGGCGATTTAGCACGGCCTTGTCTCAGAATTTTAAAAAGGGCTGAAGATGTGTCTCTGTGGTAAAGCACTTGCCTGGCATATGCAAGGCTCCATCCCAAGCACTACAGAAAAAAGATGTTATTAATTTTCATGCATTCCTTCCACACATTGCTACAGGTCTGGTTTGTGCTGGATGTTTTGCATAGCCTTGGCAGAGAGACTGTGCAGTGAGCAGTGTTGAAATGAGCAAATGCAATGGCTTTGTAAAAATGTATATTTACATTTTATACTTGTTCATTTAGTTTTGCGCTGCTGGGGATGCAATCTAGAGCTTCACACGTGCAAGCCCAGTGCTCTACCACTGAGATGCATCCACAGCCCACAGTGGCTTCTTACTGTCCTTTCGTGCCCCACCCCCCCGGTACTAGGAATCGAACTCATGATCTCACGCTTGCCAGGCAGGCACTATGCCACTGAGCTAATTCCCCAGCCCCTTACTGTCTTTTTTGTGGGGAGAGCAGAGTCTCACTAAATTGCCCAGACTCACCTCAAACTTGCCATCCTCCTGCTTCAGCCTCCTGAGTAGTTGGGATTACAGGCATGTGCCACCATGCCTGGCTCCACCGTGTTTCTGTTTTGCTTTGTTTTGTTGCTGTTTTGGGCTTGTTTTGTTTTGTTTTGAGACAGGGTCTCCCTGTGTAGTTCAGGCTGGCCTTGAACTCACTATGTAGTATAGACCGGCCTCAAATTCTTGGCAATCCTCCTGCCTCGACCTCCCGAATGCTGGGCTTATAGGCATGCACTACCATGCCTGGATCCACAGTGGTTTTTAAGGCCAAGTAGGAGCTCATCAACGGTTGGAAGGCATTACCAGCCTGGGGGTATGAAATACCTTGCTAAATTGCGGGTGCCCTAAGATGTGATGAGGGGCAAATGAGGTAGGAGGAGTTTGCAGCTGAAATAGGAGATAGGGCACAGAGCTTGGACATGGGAGAGGCTTTGGACTCACGGGCATGGCCTCTGAGGGGCTTGCGCTGGAGGCACGTTGGTCTGTTCAGAAAGCCAACCACGTAAGTCACACCCCAAACCTGCTCAGCACCCAGGCTGCTAGCCTGGACCTGAGAGCCTCCTGTCTCCACATGGCCTACCTCATGAATGGGGAAATGGAGGCACAGGGGGGCAGAGACTGACCTAGCACGCACTTGGGGAAATGTTTTGGCATCAAGTGGAAAAGCTAGAGATTCACACACGCACCCTGCTACCCAGCGTCTCCTCTCTGAAATTGTGCAGGTAGAAATGAGAAAGATCTGTGGCAGCAAGAGCCACAGACAGCCCCAGATGTGCTAGTGGAGATGCCTTCCTAGCATGAGACAATGCACAGCAACGACAAAGAGCAACTGCCACTACAGGCAAATAGGAGTCAGGGAGGGCACAAATGTGTGCTCCGTACCCCATCTCTCCTGGGCTTGCAGTCAGCTCTCTACAGCTGGCATGGTGGCACATGCCTGTAATCCCAGCACCAGGGAGGCTGAGACAGGAGGATCACTGTGAGTTCGAGGCCAGCCTGGGCTACATAGTGAATTCAAGGCCAGCCTAAACTATATAGCAAGACTCCCTGTCAAACAACAACAAAGTCCAAAAATGAAACAAGATGTTGTTTCAGCATTCATACATGCTACAACGTTTCTTTCTTTTAGAAAGGGGATGCTAAAGGAAGGGCATGGTGATGCAGGCCTATAATTCCAACACTCAGGAAGCTGAGGCAGGAGGATTGCCATGAGTTTGAGGCCAGCTTGGGCTTCATAGTGAGTTTAAGGGCAGCCCGAACTATATAGCTAGACCCTGTCTGAAAGAAAGAGGAAAGAAACAAAGAAACAAAGAAAGAAAGAAAGAGAAAAAAAAAAGAAAAAAAATTAGTTTTAGCTCAGCCTGAGAAATTGAGGGACTTATCAAAATCTTGTCTCAAAATTTTAAAAATTAATGTAAGGATTAAGGATAGGGACATAGCTCAGTAAGAAGGCCTTTGTTTCAATCCCAGTACTACAAAACAAATGAACGAACCAATAAATAAATGGCTGGAGATGTAGCTCTTTGTGAAAGCTCTGGGTCCAATCTCTGGTACTACAAAGAGGGAGCAAGCGAAAGAGTGAGAGAAATTGAGAAATGAATTAATTCATTAATGAATCTGGGAGGTAGAGGGAGGCAAAGACATTATGGGCCCGTGAGTCTTGGGCTTATACTGCACACTGTTCCAATGTCAGGGGTTCCACGTAAGGATGATTTCCCTGGGGCTCTGTAATTTATTTGATTGATTGACTGACTGATTGATTGATTGAGACAGGGTCTCACTATGTAGTACAGGCTGCCTTGAGTTCACTATGTAGCCCAGGCTGGCCTAGAACTCGCAGTGATCCTCCTGCCTCAGCCTCCCGAGTGCTGGGATTATAAGAATGTGACACCATGCTTCGTGAGATCTGTAGTTAAAAGGAAAAGCTGCTGCAGCAGCCCTTCCTGACTCGGCCATATGCCTCTGCCCCAGCCTACCTGAGTCCTTGGCGCAGGAAAGAGGCCAGAGGCACCATGACTGCCCCCCTGGCACCAGCTCTACAGAGGTGCCCAAGATGGCTCAGCTGTCTCACCACCAGCAGAAGGAGGCGGGCCTGAGGCCAGCAGGGCCTGAAAGAGTCATAAAGAGGAGGAAGGCTGGAACTGGTCAAGAAAATGGGATGAGCCAGTCGAGTGGAGAGCCTCAACCTGGAGGAGGGCTCAGGCCTGTCCCAGCGAGGCGGAGGCCAGGCCCACTGCAGGCCCCGAGGACTTGTTTCCCTTGTGGCTTTTTGCACTTCCTGTTCCCTTGCTCACTGCGGAAGTTCCTCTTCTTTACCCTGCACCCGGAGCCTAGGCAGAGAGGACAAGGACCGAAGAACCATGAGTGGGGGCCCTGTGGGAGGCAGGCCCGGGTCCCGAGCAGGAGCAGCTCAGCAGAACATTCCTTCCAGCCTCCTGCAGGACCATGAGAACCAGCGCCTCTTCGAGATGCTCGGCCGGAAATGCTTGGTGAGCTAGGACTCGATCTCCTGGCCCTCCTGGGCTCCCCCGCTTTCCTCCTCTTCCTCTCGGCTCCTCCTCTTCCCCATCCCTCCCTGTTCCTCCTCTTTTCATCCCTCCCTACTCCTTTCCCTCCCTTCAGCCCATCTCCTAGGACCCACTTACCACCGTCCCCCATACCAGGAAGATCTCCGAGTCTATTCGCCTTCCCTTTTGCTACAGCTCTACCTCCAGGCCCATGATTGCCATGGGCAAGAAAGGCCTAAGCCTGGCTCCTCGACCCTCAGGCTACCCTGAGTAGACGCCACTGACCCTGCTCTCCCCTCAGACACTGGCCACCGCAGTTGTTCAGCTGTACCTGGCCCTGCCCCCTGGAGCCCAGCACTGGACCATGGAACACTGTGGGGCCGTGTGCTTCGTGAAGGACAACCCGCAGAAGTCCTACTTCATCCGCCTTTATGGCCTTCAGGTAACCCTGTGGCCCACTGGACATGCAAGCCAGTTCCCCCACACATGGAGATCCACAACCTGAGCCCTCAGACAGATAGTGAATGCCAGAGCCCCAGAATCAAACAGCCATCGAGATCCAAACTGTGCCTTGCTTTTCTAGGTCTGAGACAACACACCCCAGGTCCCCATGGCAAGATCTCTCCACACCCAAACAGTAATAACTCCTAAGCCTAATCTGTTCCACAACTCAAAAAAGAAAAAGAAAGAAAGAAAACAAGGAGTACTGTAATTGTGCCTCAACCTCAGATCTGTTCTGAATTCAGCATTTTAAATGTACCTGGGACTGGAATTCTGAATTCTGAAATTTGAGCCTCCAGGTCCCACATCTAGAGTCCTGAAACTCCAAGCTAAGGCTCTCCTTACTACACCCTAGACATCTGACACCTAGGTCACCAACTTTTTGATGCTGAGTTGAAAATCTCCAGGTCAGACCCTGGGGCCCAAAACCTGGCCACCACACTAGGTGTGCCTCAGGGCCAGCGTGTCCCCACCCTGCCCTCTCCAGGCCGGCCGGCTGCTCTGGGAACAGGAGCTCTATTCACAGCTGGTCTACTTGGCCCCCACGAGCTTCTTCCACACCTTCGCTGGAGATGTAAGTGGCCCAGGCCCTTTGCGCCTCGATCGGGGTGTGAGGAGGAGAGAGGAAAGGTAGGGGGCCTGGCAGGCTGCTGACTCCCGGGCATGTGCAGGCCTGCCAGGTGGGGCTGAACTTTGCGGATGAGGGCGAGGCCCAGGCCTTCCAGGCCCTGGTGCAGGAGAAGATACAAAAAAGGAATCAGAGGCAAAGTGGAGGTGAGGAGGTTTGGGGGAGGACCGTGGTCGGGCACAGGTGAGCGTGTGCATGGGGAGCCGGAGAAGCCCTTCTTACGGCTCTGAATCCACCTGTCTAGCCACAGACAGAGGCCAGCTGCCGCCACCGCCAGTGCCAAGCAATGAAGGTGAGTCCTTTGGTGCAGATGTGGCAGTAAGGGCCTGGCCCAGAAACCTGTGGCTGGGTTATGACAGCTCCTGACCCATTCCATCTCCCCAGAGAGAAGAGGAGGGCTCCCACCTCTGCCCCCACATCCAGGTGGAGACCAAGGGGGTGAGTGGTGATTCTTTCCTGTGTCTCTCGATGGATGGGCTGGCGGAGACAGTGTGGAGGGATGGGTAGTTGGCAGGATGGGGGATGGGTGGTGGGTGGAAACACTGGCGGCGGACAGATGGCTAAGTGGAAGGATGAACTGATGGGCGATTGAAAGTATGAATAGATGTGTAGATGTATAGGTCGGTTATGGGTAGCTAGGTGTATGCGTATGTGGATAAATACATGGGTGGATGACCGAGCGAACGAACGGTGAATATATCACAGTATCCCAGCCAGTGAAGAAAGAAATGATTAAATGAATGATTGTGTGAGTAAATCATCTAACAAACTAATCAGTCACAAGTTGGAGAACAAATGAGTTAATACTGCAGTGATTAGCATGAGTGAATGAATAAATGAATGAATCCATGAATGCATGAGTGGTCTTTGGCATCTGCCCACTTCTCCACAGACCCTTAGACCCATCCCTCCATGGCCGTCAAACAGACTTCTCCAAAGCCTTCCAGCTTCTTGTCCTTGTGCTTTGGCTGGTGTGGGCGGGGAGGGAGTGGCCCACTCACCCTGTGTTCTCCACAGGCCCACCAGCTGGCCCCATGTCTCTGGGGCTACTCACAGTGGACATCCAGAACCCGGACATCACAAGTTCACGATACCGCGGGCTCCCAGCACCTGGGCCTGGTCCCGCTGACAAGAAACGCTCAGGGAAGAAGAAGATCAGCAAGGCTGATATTGGTGCGCCCAGTGGATTCAAGTGAGAGCTCTTCCCCTGTGGGCTCCTGGGGCTGGCAGGGCATACGAAAAGGCGGACAACTGGGTGATGGGAGGGCGGTCAGATCGGTGGGCGGGCGAGTGGACAGATGAATGGGTGAGAGTGAATGAGTGGGTGGAAGTAGGGGGTTGAATGGGTAAGAAAATGAGCTGGTGGATGGAAAGGAAGGCACAGGGGTAGAGGGGTGGACAGATGGACTGTGTGAAATCAGACTGGTGGACAAGTGCGTAAACAGATGCGTGTGAGCTGCTGGGCGGGGCGATGGGTGTATGGGCAGCGCAGCAGTCTGTGAAAGGATAGGTGAACAAAAATTGGGTGGTAGATGACGGCAAGAGGGACAGATGAACACACTGGGGCCACAGGTTTCGGGGCCTTCTAGTCCCGTAGGTGCTCCCACTCATTGCCTCCTTTGCACTCAGGCCTTGGTTCAGCTCCTGAGACCCTGGGCAGGAGAGGGCAGGGGCTTTGTTAGGAAGGGAGGCTAGTGGGGTTCACTGGAGTCCCCTCCCCTCCTCCAGACATGTCAGCCATGTGGGCTGGGACCCCCAGAATGGATTTGATGTGAGTAGCCCCAAGGGCCCCTGCACCCCGTCCACCTTCATCCGGCCCTTCCACAGGTCACCGCTCAGACTGCACCCCAGACCCTGCCTTTCCCTCTCAGCCCCCGCTCTGAGCCTCCATCCACCACCCCCGCCTGGCCTTTTTTGTCCCGGGCAGGTGAACAACCTAGACCCAGATCTTCGGAGCCTCTTCTCCAGGGCAGGAATCAGCGAGGCCCAGCTCACCGATGCGGAGACCTCCAAACTCATCTACGACTTCATCGAGGACCAGGGCGGGCTGGAGGCGGTGCGGCAGGAGATGAGGCGGCAGGGTGAGCCCCGCTCTCCTTTGGCGGCCCCAGTGCCAATGCCGCGGAGACACACTGAAGTCCCTCGGTGTTCATGGAAAGCCCCAGGCTGCTCAGCGGGAAAGGACAGTGCTCACGGCTGTGTGTTGTTTTCCTCCCACAGAGCCACTTCCACCACCCCCACCGCCATGCCGAGGAGGGACCCAGCCCACCCGGCCCCCTGTTGTGGGGGGTAACAAGGGTCGTTCTGGCCCCCTGCCCCCTGTACCCATGGGGGCTGCCCCGCCCCCACCGACTCCCCGGGGACCGCCTCTCCCAGGCCGAGGGGGCCCTCCACCACCACCCCCTCCGGCCACTGGACGTTCTAGCCAACCGCCCCCTCCACCCCCTGGAGCCGGGGGGCCACCTGTGCCACCTCCACCACCACCACCGCCACCACCAACCAGCACCGGGGTTGGGCCAGTGCCTCCCCCACCCCCTCCCAGTCTAGGGTCTGGGGGAGGCCTGGCCCCTGGTGGGGGCCGGGGGGCACTTTTGGATCAAATCCGTCAGGGAATTCAGCTGAACAAGGTAAGGATGGGCAGGTGGAGAATTGGGGGTCTGTGACTCTGGGATGTTCTGTGCAAGTCATGATATTGAGGGGCTGAGGCCAAGACTGATGGGGGTGTCATGCTTTGGGAGTTCAGTGGTAGGGTTGGGAGATTTGTGGGGAGCCTTGCCGGAGATAGGAGTGTGTGAATGCACAAATGCTCTTCTGGCAAGCCTGACCCCTCTGCACCCAACCCTGCTCACTGCAGACCCCTGGAGCCATCGAGAGCTCAGCCGTGCAGCCCCCACCTCAGAGCTCAGATGGGCTGGTGGGTGCGCTCATGCACGTGATGCAGAAGAGAAGCCGCGTCATCCACTCCTCTGGTGAGTCTGTCCTGCTGGGACCTGCGCTGGTCCCGAACAAGAGCCCTGGCTGAAAACACCGAGTGCCACTACCTGCTGCACACTCGCCTGGCATACCCTTTTTCACAGTGTTAACATTATTGTGTGACAGTAATTTATATAGTCTAACAATAATAACATTAATGCCAAGGTATGCCCACAATAGTAACATTAACCCTTTATGTTTGGTACTATTAACATTAGACCACCGTGTCAGGATAGTTATTTATAAAGAACCCTATCTTGGTTTTTTTTTTTTTTTTTTGTCTTTTTGAGACAGGATCTCATGCAGTTCAGGCTGGCCTTGAGCTCACTTTGTAGCCCAGGCTACAAAGTAGCCCAAGGTCTCAAACTCACAACGATCCTCCTGCCTCAGCCTCCTGAGTGCTGGGATTACAGGCATGCGCCATCATACCAGGCTTGTTCTTGTTTTTAGAGACAGGGTCTTGCTCTGTACTTCAGGCTGGCCTTGAACTCACTATGTAGCTCAGGCCGACCTTGAACTCATAGCAATTCTGCCTCACCTTCCCAAGGGTTGGGATTATAGGCATGCACTACTGTGCCTGGCTAAAGAACCCTATCTTTGACAATAATATTAACTTTGTTTTTGGTACTGGAGAGTGAATCTATGTCCTTTGTACTGAGCTACATCCCTAGCCCTTTTGTAAATTTTTTATTTTCAGACAGGGTCTTAATATGTCACTCAGTTGCCCAGGCTGGCTTCAAACTCACAGTGATCCTTCTGCCTCAGCCTCTTGAGTGCTGGGCTTATAGGCTGTGCTACCACACCCGGCTACATTAACTTGTTATGTGATAGTAATATTATAACACAGTCTTTTTATAATAATGTTAATATTAATCTCCTAATGTACCAACAATATCAACTCATTACATGATTTAATATTAATCTCAACCTATTATGTTACAATAATATAATTAACTCCTACTTCGACAATAATATTACCATTAACCCCACAGTGTGTCCATAAGATTAACATCAACCCATTACATGACAATGTTATTAACAAATCTCATCTTTTTATTTATTTGCTTGTCTTTTTGAGACAGGGTTTCTCTATGTAGTTCAGGCTGGCCTTAAACTCATCTGTAGCCCAGGCTGGCCTCGAACTCATGGGGATCCTCAGGTCACAGCCTCCTGAGTGCTGGGATTAGAGGCGTGCGCCACCACGCCTGGCCAGACCCAGGCCTATCTTGCCCCCGCTCTCCCTCTAGTGGGAGGCTTCAGCCTCCCAGGCTGAGTCTTCACCCACTAAGGACTCCCACCCCTCCCACCCATTCTGAGTTGCCTCCACATCTTTCTCCAGATGAAGGAGAGGACCAGGCCGGCGATGAGGATGAAGATGACGAATGGGATGACTGAGCTACACCTGGGCTCCTCCCCGCAGGCCAGTGGCTCCCACTGCGCTTGCTTCGCATCCGCTCCTGCAGCTTCCGGGCCCCACCTCCAGTGCTGTCATCTGCGGCTGCTCCCCATACTCACCCAAGCAGTGCTGGGGGCCCTTTTTATACATTTCCCAGTTGTCTTCATGCAAGGATTTTAAAACAGAAATAAAATAATTGTCCTTTTGTCTCTAAGTCTGGGTTTGCTTACATTGCAAGTGTGGAAATTTGGGGTCCTTTACCCCTAAAGTCCCTTTTATTCATTTATCCCTTTTTATTTAGCCTTACATGTATATGTTCACTCACTCATTCATTCATTCCTTTATGCTCTAAGTCATTTAGCTTTTCTTTCTTTCTTTTGGGGTCATGCTATGTTGCCCAAGCGGGACTTGAACTCCCAGGCTCAATCATTTCCACAAGCATTTCCTACCAGGTACTATTTCAGGGGGTAGGATGGAATGGACATTCTAGGGGGAGGGACAGACAAGGAACAAGAAATCAAAGATAGTGAGCTGGGCATGGTGGTGCACCTGTGATGTCAGCGCTTGGGAGGCTGAGGCAGGAGGATTGCGGAGAGTTCAAGGCCAGCCTGGACTACATAGCAGCAAACAAAAACAAACAAACAAAGATAGCTACAGCTCATGGTAAATGCTATGGAGTGCTGAGGCAGAGATAAAGGGGCAACAACATTCCAATGGAGCAGTCACGGAAGGGCCACTTGGGGGAGGTGACAGATGTGCTGGACCTAAAGAGAGATGTGTTGGCCAGGGGAGCAGCCAGTACAAAGGCCCTAAAAGCTTGGCATGGGCTGGCAGTGTAGATCAGCAGTACAGTGCTTGCCCAGCATGTGACAGGCCCTGGGTTCCATCCCAAGTACCACACACAAAGCACCTGGCATGAAGCCAAGAGTGGTGACTGAGTGAAAGAGTCATTTATTCACATGCATATGTTAAGTATTTTTTGAGTGGACACCGTACAAGATCAAGTGCACGCTCAATGGTCAGACCTCCCTACTCTTTATGCGACGCAGGACTTGATGGGCAGGATATCCCTCTCGATTGCAAAAGTCAGCTCTGCCCAATTCCCAGGACAAAGCAAGTACTGGCCAATTGCAATAGAAATGGCAAAGACTTACTAACCATCTGGGCTCAGTGGTGCATGCCTGTAACCCCAGCACTCGGGAGGCTGAGGCAGGAGAATCACAGTGAGTTCGAGGCCAGCCTGGGCTACAGAGTGAGACCTTGTGTCAAAAGCAAAAGCAAGCCGGGAGTAGTGGCACACGTCTGTAATTCCAGCACTCAGGAGGCTGAGGCAGGAGGACCCATGTGAGTTCGAGACCAGCCTGGGCTACAAAGTGAGCTCAAGGCCAGCCTGAACTGTATAGCGAGACCCTGTCTCAAAAAGACAAAAGAAAAAAAAAAGGGGCAAAAACAAAACAAACAAACAAAAAAAGGTACAGCATTCCACCAGTACTGAAGAAAGAAAAAGAAACAGGCCAGTCAGGCAACTTCCTCCGTCTTGTTTTTTGTTTTGTTTTTTTTTGCACTGCTGGGAATAGAACCTGGAGTCTTTGGCATGCTGAGCCAGGGCTCAGGCAATTGTTTTCCCTAAGTCTGTGAGGGGGAATCCAGGGTGGGCTGCAAGATCAGTGGACGACCTTTTTAACCATCAAGCTGGGTGGGGTGCGGTATTGGGGGTAGAGGGGAAACCAGCCAGATGGAGGGAGTAGTTGCAGGGGATTGTAAGCAGTGGGGGCTGGGGCTGCTCCTTAGGGATTCCCAGAAGAAAGGAGACTTCTCCCAGAGCTAGAGAAGAAAGGAGGCTGTGCTTTCCCTGAATTCTTTCATGATTATTTATCTCCACTCTCCAGAGACCAGGGTGATGAGCTCTCACAAGGGAAGGTATTGAGGTGTCCCACACTATGTGGGTGGGCACTGAGTCCAGGAAGGACCTGTGGGTAGCACCTGTTCTCCATCCCAGGGGTCCCCAGAAACCCTAGAAATCGTGTTTTGGGACCCCTTTGGCAGGTTTTGCCGCTGAACGACTTCCAGTGAAAGACCTCCAATCTGCAAGCTCTGAACACGCGTGAGCACAGAACTGACCCAGGGGCTGGTGGTGTGGTGCAGCGGTCTGCGACACATAAGGCCCTGGGTTCCATCCCCACTACTGCAAATGGGAAAAGAAAAGCAAATTAAGCAAGTTGCCTGATCTCTCTGGGCCTCAGCTTCCTCAGTCTTCCAAATGAGGGTAAAAGGCTTACCTTACAGAGTTGTGGGGAGAATTAATTAGAGTTAATGATGTCAGCAAAGTGCCCGGCTCCTTGTAGGCAGCTATAAATGGTAACTGTTATCATTGTTATGCTGTTACTGTTAATACTGGATTTCACTGACTCTGAATCACCATCGATTGGAAAATGCACCATTATTCTATGTATCACTAAGAAAGAGAAAAAAGCACTGCCATTTAAATTATGACTCACTAGGACTTGGAAGACGTAGGCTGACTTCAGAGATGTTAAAACATTAACTGCTTCTTAATCTCTGCATTCTGATTCCAGGTGTGCGTTCCCTTGTGAGAGCTCATCACACTATGTCCCCATGGCCTCTGTACCCTCTGTATGGACATTACAGCCCAGCATGTGGTTTCATCAAAACAGGTCAAATCTGGGCACCCTGTAATGGACAAAACCATGTCTTGTCCCCAACACTGGGCAAAGCAGTAGCCAATGCTGAACAAACAGACACATGGCTGGGTGTGGGATGCAGTTGTAACAGGGTGACTTTTTATCTTAAGGCTCCCTGAAAAAGGTGCTAGTCCAGAAAGATTCACTCTCCAAATGAATGACAGACTGGCACACTCACGAATGAAGAAAATGCCTGAGGCCACACGATTCAGTAAAACGTGGAGCTGGGGTTTGAACCCAAGCGGTCACGTTCCAGAATCCAGGCCCTTGCCCTCATTATATTATTACACTGTTTGGGGGAGGGCCAAGGGCTTCTTCTCCCCACCACCCACAGAGCCCTCCATCTTCCCAATCAAAGCCCGCAGAGGTCTCGTCTTAAATCACTCTCCTAGCTTGGGCAGTCTCTGGGACTCCTAGGAGTAGGAACTCAATACCTGCCAGAGGGAAGAAGGGAGGAAAAGGCTTGCACAGCGGAACTTAACGCGGATGGTGGAACCTCAGAGTGACCAGCCGCTTTCTCCAGCTGGATGAAAGGCAGACTCAATATCCGTTTGGTTACCTGTACGACCTTTGGTTGACTGTAGCTCACAGAATAACAGCAAGAGGGGCACTTTGAGCAACCAACAGTGCAATTTCCTGATGCCGTGAGGCACCAAACTGCCCACTGAATGACAGCCCACCTAGGACTGGCTGGACTGGTGGCCTGACGGTGAAGAAAACAGACAGCCTCCCGAGGGCCTTATAGCAGACTGGTGAGCTGTGGTGCTCCTGCTGGCCTGAGTGCCGGGGTGTCTTAAATGAAAGACTGTTGCTAGGATCACCCCTGGCCTGAGGAACTGTCTGGATGTTATTCTGTTTGGCCTTCTGTGAGGGAGCTGTGGGAATTTCAGGAATTTCAGGACGACTGATCAATGTGTGTAGCTGCCCACCAGGTAGCTGTTTGTGATGGAACTGCACCATGCTTGAGGGCCTGGCTGGGTGTGTTGACTGACTACTCACACATGGTGTGGGTTGGGGGCTGCTGAAAATGACCACCTGGCGGGCTGACCTCATGAGGGGCAGCCTGAGGGAGTCACAAGCCAGCCTACTGACAGCAAGAACCATGTAGCTGCCTGGCGCTGGCTATATGTGGTTGCAGACTGTCTGCCCTGATAGATTCCAAGCCTCTCTGAGTGGCCCAACACAACACAAGGTACTGACTGACTTGGTCCATGCTGGGGATGAGTTGTCTGAGAAATGACCAAACAGGTGTAAGAATCCAGCATGACTTGACTACAGCCATCTTGGTTGTAACCACCCTCTTGCTTGGCAGGTGACCCTGGTATGCATTCCAAACCCTGTAAGATAAAGAAAGAAATTAAGACAAGTCGGATGAACATTACATGCTGGCTACTGATACTGGCATTTGACATATTAATAGTTTGGTTTTTGAGAAAACACATGTATATTCTGGTCAGCCACCCCATTTTTTTCTAGTTTTGAAAACTAAACCCCTTCCTCCTACCTTGGGGTGTGAGAATTCTTCTGTGTTGATGCCCCTCAAGACCTGCTTCTGTCTTTTAATCCACCTTTTTTTTTTTTTTTTTTTGGTACCGGGAATCGAACTCAGGACCTTGTGCTTGCCAGGCAGGCACTGTGCCACTGAGCTATATCCCCAGCCCCTAAGGAATAAGAATAGCTCCTGAGAGAAAGGAGGGGTCCCAAATGAGTTGCCTTTCAGTCCACTTTGCAAAATCATGGGATTTGTCGCTTTCTTCGGCCTTGCCAACTTTCGCCTTTGGTATCCAGTTCTGGTACCGGGGCTTTTCCTACACCCTGGGTGACAAACTGACAGGTGGCCAGGAAGTCCTATTGTATTTCTGGTTGCTGAGATTACTTGCTCTGAGGGCCTAGCGGGTGTGTAGCGAGCAGAAACTTGAGGGCCCCTGACAAGGCTATCCTCTGACAGGGCTATATTAAAGCTGACCGTGACAGCTTGTCCTGACCTAATCCCAGTCTGCTGGAGGCCATGGCTGAAGGCTGCAGTTCATGAGACGCCTCTTCCAGGGTGGAGCGCAACTGGTCCGTGGAGAGAACTGTTTGACTGGCTGACATTGTGAGCAGGACCTTTTGAGGGAATGGCAGGGTGGCTAGCTAGAGACATTGTGTCTCCCTCGAAGGACAAGGACGGAGGGCACAAGTGGATGCTACTACTGACTGACCGCCAGCGTGAATAGGGAGGAGGGGGTCTGAAAGACACCTGTCTGGAATGACTCATTTTCTGATTTGTATGCGTGATCAACAGAGCAGCTAGCTATATATGGCGCTAGTCCACCCTGGGAGTCACGGCCTGCGTGGGGTTAAAATGTGATGACAGGCTGACTGACGGAGATAATTGGGGGGTCTGACAGGACGGAGGATCCCCCTTACGACTGGCTGAGAACGTGATTGGCTACCAGTGTGACAGACAGACCGGCGTACAGGCAGGGCTTCGGGCACCCAGCGGCCGCCGCCGCCGCCGCCGCCGCCGCCGCCGCCGCCTAGAAGCACTCTGGGAAAGTGCGAACACAGCCTCCGGGACCGAGCCGGTGGCGAGGAGGAGTCCGGTCACCACTTGCCGGTTGGTCCGCCCCGGCGCTGCTGGCTGCAAGGCGCGGCCAATAGGCTGCGCGATCCCGGCCACGCCCGCGCGAGCTCTCTTCTCGCGAGGCCGTCTAGGCCCGAATGTCGTTAGCCGTGGGGAAAGATGGCGGAAAATTTAAAAGGTGAAGCAGTGGCGGTAGAGGCGCGGGCCCGCCGGCCGGGCCGGGTGGGCTGGAGGGGTGGTGTCGCGAGCTCGGGGCGCCGGCGTCCGAGGCCACAGAGCCGGGAGCCGGAAGCCTGGGGCCGAAAGGATAGGGCTCACGGAGCGCGGGCCCAGTGCGCGGGGCTGGGCGGGGCTGAGGGGAGGGGGCGCGCGCTTGAGAACGCGGTGGGCGCGGGGCTAAGTGGGGACGCGGGCGGGGGGCGCGCGCCGCAGATCGCGACCGGACCGGCGCGCGCACGCGCGGGGGTTTGCGGGGACGACAAGGCTGCGCGCGCGGGAAAAACCGGCCCCTGGTGACCGTTACCCTTTCGGTGTCCACGCTAGACGCCGGAAGGGGAAGGAAGAGAAGGGGACAGACCCCCTCCTTAGAGTGGGTGGGTGGGTGAGCCTTGAGGGGGACAGGTTATCACCGCTCACTGAGGTGCGGGAAGGATTTGAAGTAGATTCCCCCAAAAGAGGGGAACAGGGCCTCCCTGACGGGAGAGCTGGACTGCCCATGTGCAGGGAAAGGGGTGGCTCTGTCTGTTGCGAGGCGAAGCCGCGAGGAGGGTGGATTCCACAAGTGTGAGAGGGACTCTGAGGGCCAGGCGAGTCCAGCTGTTGTCAGCGCCGCGCCAGCAGCCCGGGAGGCTGGGGCCGCGAGCGAAGGCTTCGGCAGACACGCATCGCAGGGAGAGGAAGCACGGGCGCAGGCTCCGCTGGGCCTTGCCCATCGCAGGAGGGAGCTTTAATTTTGTAAGGCGCCTCTGTTTTTAGGTTGACATCTAGGGTGTCTCATTATGAATTTATTTATTTTTTTCTCATTATGAATTTAAGTAAGTTTGATTTTTGTAGTGGGAAGTAGGTAATATCGAACGTTTTAAAAAGACATAGGATGTGGCGTGGGTACATTTGGAATCAAGTGTTTGGGGGCACGATTTGATAAAATGGCTTCTAAAGCACACTAATGAAAGACGTGCCTTGAATAAGAACTATGTATTTTTAAATCCGTGTCTTGAAGTTTTTTGGTGGCTTCACAGACACTCTAGGTATACTTAAAAGAACTGATGTCACTAACCTATTCCGCTTTGTGTATTCCTCAATTCAGCGCATGGCCCTTTGGATGAGCTCTATCCTTCACAGACATGTGGCTGAGACAGAAAGTCAAAATGGAGCAGTGGGAAAAAAAAATTTTACCTTGCTGGGTTAAGGTGCCCCAGACAAGTCATTCAAAGGAACCTTTCTGCAATTGTGTATCATTTCACAATCCTTATTTATAATTCCAAAATCTAAAAAGTCCTGAAAACTGAAATCTTTTTTTCTAAAATTTGGCACCATTCATTGAAAAAGAAGATCTTAAAAAGTGGGATTGTGCAATGAGTTTATCTTACATTTTACCTTTATTTAATGGGGAAAATGTGTACTTTTGCTGCAGAAATATCCATGTGTTTGATTATGGCTTGATGTCCCTGATCACGATGGGGGTGTTAGTTTAACGTACGGGGGCACACTTAAGAGCTACACTTGTAAAATCCTCCCCAAATTTGAATTCTAAAACATGTCTGGCCCTGGGAGTTTTAGACAGGGAATTGAAGACCAGTCTTTCCAGTTAGGTCTTTGTTTGGTGCCCTGGAGGTTTTAATCCTGTCCCCAACCCCCTCAGGGCCATACACCCTACTGAGGTGGGGGTTGTTCTCTTTCTTTTGCAAAGTGGAGTGAGCAAGTCTTGAACCTGTTACAGGCAGTTTTAGGACTCGGGCAGAGGGAGTTAGAGGCTCGGAATAGATTCCCCTTTGGGACCAGCCGCGCAGCAAACCCCACTTTAACCCTGCTGCTCCAAAGGAGGCCTTAGACACAGCACAGGGGTTTGAGGAAGTAACACTTTCATGTTGCAGAAGGATCTCAGCACTGGGGGAAGAATCTGTGGATTAAGTTTCCCTGACTCTTAGGCTGCCCTTGGGATACTCTAGAGAGGATTTGGGGTCCCATTTGGCCCCCATCCTGGTCAGGCTGCCCAGTAATGGCTCACTCTGGCCCCCTTGTTCCAGGCTGCAGTGTGTGTTGCAAGTCCTCTTGGAATCAGCTGCAGGACCTGTGCCGCCTGGCCAGGCTCTCCTGCCCTGCCCTTGGCGTCTCTAAGAGGAACCTCTATGACTTTGAAGTTGAGTACCTGTGTGATTACAAGAAAATCCGCGTAAGTCTGGAGTGATCCATGCCCTGGGAGGGGGCAGGTCTCAAGGGTCTTGCCTTTCGCCCCACCCCTGCTGCCCATATCTGTTTCCAAAGGGAGTTTTTTTCCTCTGATCCTTCCTGAAAAAAAAAATAGGATGGACAGACTTGGTTATCCCCATTTTATAGGTAGGAAGACTAAGTGGGTTTCTTAGGGGATGAGGAACTATATGAAGCCCCAAATGTCTCTTCCCATCTCCCTGGAAACACAAACTTATCGCTGAGATTCAGGCACCAGAACCCTGAAGTAGGGACAAGAATAGGTACTGTTACTAATTGTGTCAGTAACTATTGTTATGGTTACTTCCTCTCAGGAATTCATTTAACACTCCCACCCCACCCACCCCTACAATACTGTACTGTGACGTGGCAACAATTACTTTTGCCAGAGGATTTAACTGAAGGTCAGTTATAAACATGCTTGGGTTTAAATCCTGGCTGTATAAGCACAGCCCCCTTAAACTCAAAACATCATTCTCCTCATCTGTAAAATTGGGAGAGCTAGTAGTATCTAACTCATGCAGAGTTGTAGGGAGTAACTTTGTTACTAACACATGGGAGTTCCTTAAAACAGTAACTGTTTCAGGATGAGTGCTAGGAAAATGTTAGCCCATTCTTTGTTACCAATGGACACTGAAGCTCAGCAAAGTTAAATAACTTGCTTAAGGCAACACAGCCAGGGAGCTCCAGATGGAGAATTTGTACCCAGGTGTCTAACTTTAGAATTTGTATGGTCAAACTGTCCTATTGCTGCCTTCAGCAGTAAAAGCTCCCTCTGGCTGCTGTGCAGAGAATAGTAAGGGCCGAGGCAGGGGGACCAGTGAGGAGGTTCCTGCCAGGGCCCATCGCAGCCTCAGTGGTGGTGGCAGTGACAGCAGCTGGGTAGTTTAAAGTGGGCAGGTTCTGGATGTGTTTGAAGGTGGGGTGGCAGGGTGTGCCAAGGGTGGCCGTAGGGAGTGTGCCCGAAAGACGAGTGAAGGGTGACTCCAGAGTGTGGGCTGCAGCGGCCAGGAGAGCACAGATGCCGGGGAGACAGGAGGGAGCAGGTTCGAGAGATGAAAAGCGGAGATTAGAGAGATAGTAAGGGGGAGCGTGGGAGCTGAGCCTGGGAATCCTGTCTCCAGAGCCCATGGTTTCTAACCATTCCAGAAAAGGAATGGGGTGAGTTGGGGGCTCTCCACTGGCCCAAGGACCTCATCATTTATGACACCCTCACCGTCCTGCACCCCAACAGGAACAAGAGTATTACCTGGTAAAGTGGCGCGGATACCCTGACTCGGAGAGCACCTGGGAGCCACGGCAGAATCTCAAGTGTGTGCGCATTCTCAAGCAGTTCCACAAGGACTTAGAAAGAGAGCTGCTCCGGCGGCACCACCGGTCAAAGCCCCCCCGGCACCTGGACCCAAGCTTGGCTAACTACCTGGTGCAGAAGGCCAAACAGAGGCGGGCGCTTCAGCGCTGGGAGCAGGAGCTCAATGCCAAGCGTAGCCACCTGGGACGCATCACTGTGGAGAATGAGGTGGACCTGGATGGCCCCCCACGGGCATTCGTGTACATCAATGAATACCGAGTTGGCGAGGGCATCACTCTCGACCAGGTGGCCGTGGGCTGCGAGTGCCAGGACTGTCTGTGGGCACCCACTGGAGGCTGCTGCCCTGGAGCGTCCCTGCACAAGTTTGCCTACAACGACCAGGGCCAGGTGCGGCTGCGAGCAGGGCTGCCCATCTACGAGTGCAACTCACGCTGCCGCTGTGGCTATGACTGCCCCAACCGAGTGGTACAGAAGGGCATCCGCTATGACCTCTGCATCTTCCGCACAGATGATGGGCGCGGCTGGGGTGTCCGCACACTTGAGAAGATCCGCAAGAACAGCTTTGTCATGGAATACGTGGGAGAGGTAGGGAGACGAGACCTGGCGTGCTGTGCAGCTGTCCCCACTGTGTGTGCCCAGCTTCTGCCCTGCGTGCCTGAAACTCCCTTGCTTTCCTTGTGGGAGAAGTGTGGGTTGTTAGTCTGAGTGGCATAGGGATCTCCTGGCAGCGGCTGCTATTCCAGGCTGGAACACACCAGTACAAGTATGCTGGTGGCTAAAAGAACACCGAAGTTCTTCTGGACAGGGGTGACCTCCTAAAGGTCCCTAGCAAAGAAGGAAGATGGGGACTGGGATCTGAACAGCAGTCCTTTCAGAGGTCATGCAGTCAGAGCACAGGGTTGTAGCACCTGAAAAGGCCCCTCCCCCTTCCCTTCTCATCCCACAAGGGCCATCTTACACAAGGTGTACCTGCCCGGAGGGAACATCTTTCATGGTCTGGAATAGACATAGGTGTGCTTGGACTGAGGTCTCCTGCCTCCTCTAGCCTTTCAGGTCACCCTGGGGAAGGGCTGGCTGAATGAGACAGGCCCCCACTGTAATGAATGAGCCGGCAAATCATAGTGACTTCGCAGATTGGAGTTTGTGTGCTCATGACCAGTTTAGTGTGGGTGTTCAGGCAGTCATCCTTTCACAGTGTCTGCAGTACCCACGTTCTCTCCCTCTTGTGCCTTTCCTGTGCTTTAGAGCCTTGGAGCCGCCACCAGATCCTCAGCATTCCCTGGCAGGCAGGCTGACTAGGGGACCAAAAGGGAGGGTTCTAATGGGTCAGGTCTGAATACAGCGCACGTCACTTCTGCCCACACTCTGTTGGCTGGCACTGAGTCACTGGCCTTTACTGCAGTGTGGGCGGAGGAGAGGGTGCTTTAGCTGTGTGCCCAGGTGCAAAACAGAAGGGGTCTGGATGAGTAATTGGCAAACGTCTGCAACAGAAAGTATCACATCCTAAGGTGGGATGTGGTGGGCATTTGGAGTAGAGCAGTTCTCTTTTATGTAGAATCGTCTCATGCCTTAGGAGACATTTAACATCTGTGGACCATGACCACTTAAATCCATGAATGTGCCTCATTCTTGGTGACAATCCCAGATACCTCCATATATTTCCACAGCTTCCTTGGGGGGTGTGATAAGGTTGGGAAGTGATGAAGAGTGGCCCAAAGGGCACACACCTGAGGGTGTCCACACTGTAGCAATGACATTGATGGACAAGGAGAGGCGCCCTCTCTGAGGAACTACAGAGTAGAAAGGAGTAGACCCTAGAGAAGCAGGCCCAGTTTTGAGGCCAAGGACTCTGCACCGCAGAGGACTAGCCATCTGGGTGAGAGGATGGCCACACCCCAGATGGGCTGCTGAAGACACATCCCCGTGCCAGAGCACCAGCTGTCCTGGAGGAAGGAGGAGCTTGCCACACCCAGAGGGCTCCGGACAGCAGCAGCAGCAGAAGGGATCCTGGGGAACTTCAGGGAGAGATGTCCCCATCTCAGAGTGATGCAATAACTTGGAGGAAGAGCTGAAGCTCTCTGCACTGCAGAGGGCCCTAACTTAGGAAGTATCCACATTCACACCATCCTGGGGTCAGGCAAAAGAAGTGTCCTCACCCCCAGAGGGATCCGGAGAGCCTGGAGATGGTGTTTATACCTGTGAGCACCTGGCAGGCTGGAGGAAGTGGCCAGACCTCAGAAAGACCCTAACTATGTAGCAAACAATGTATTCTGACCCTGGAAGCCTCTGACAGTCTGGAGGGGAAGGTGTCCAGACCCCATGGGACCCCGGGAGTCTTAGAGGCCATCCTAAGCAGGAAGCATGGCTTCACTGTCCTCAGGTCTGGAGATGTGGGCCACCCTCAGAGCCCACAGGCAGCCTCGGAGTTCTGGGTTTAATGTCCTTACTCCTGCATGCTGGAAATAGAGGCTCCAGGGGCCCTCTCACCCTTCCTTACTATTCCCACTCTCCATGCCATTTCTTGGCCCTCCTGTGGCCATATTTGGTGACTTCCAGGCACCCCTCTGGCACCCTTAGACCCCATGGGTCCTCCTGATGGTGCTACAGGTCTCTAAACACTACCAGAGCCAAACTCATCTTCCCACTTGGCTTCCAAGGAGCCAGCAATGGGTGGGCTCTGTAGCCTTCCTGCCAGAGCTTGTACCCCAGTGTCACTGCTCAGCGGCAGTCACCGCACCTCTCTGTGTCTCCATTTCCTCACCTGGAAAATGGAAGCAATAACAGCACCTGCCTCTTAAGCTAGTCAGAAGCATTTATTCCGTGGGAAATACTTGGAAGAAGCACTTGAACAGTGGTCAGTACACAGTAAGTCTCAGGTAAGTGTTAACCATTATTGTCCAAAAGCCAGAAAATCCAAATGCTTAAAAAGTGAAAAGTTTTTTGTTACCCATTTGTCCACAGACCCCATCCTAACCTGATAGAGACCTATTTATAGTCTTTATTATCCTACTTAGAGGGAATATTCATATATTTCATCTCGAATACTAATTTGCTTTATTATATGGTGCTATCCCATAAGCTTCCAAGATATTATGTAATGGAGGGCATAGTCCCCATACCTGGGTGTCACACTGTCCTTCCCCCTAGGGACACTGACAATCTGCAGTGACAGTTCCTGCCATGTATGCAGCCCTTTGCTCCTTTGCACCCTTTCACATTTGAACTTTTACATTTCTGCAAAACATTTCCACCTCACCCAGCAGAGAATATTGGCCTACTTTATCCATTCTGAAACACACACACTCCTCACATTTTACCATCTCTGAAATGAAAATGATCTTAATTGATGTCCTTAGAATATATTTAATTAGCAGTTTTCCCTCTCTTGGTAAAGGGTACGTACAATAAGGGTGCATCTCAGATTTCAACAAGATCCAGCACGACCCCTCATTACATTGCTCTGTTCCTAACAAAAACAAGAACACTTTCTGCATCAATGATCTTGGGATTTTACAACAGCGCCTGTCAGGTTGGACTTCTGTCACTGCCATTCCCATTCTACAGATGAGAAAACAGAAACCCAAAGAGATACAGTAACTTGCTCAGAGTCACAAAGCTAGTAAAGTGGATTAAAAAAAAAAAAAAGGCCAAGTGTCTAAAAGTGGTGCTCTGCCAGGCCTGTTGGCCTTTTTATTTTTTGGCTGGGGAAACAGACACAGAGAAAGAACATTCAGGATCCCACATCCAGGAGAGGGCAGAGTGGCAGCTCCCCCCAGGCCTCTAGTTCCTGTTCCTGTGCTGCCAGCTCCTGGGCTGGCTGTCCTCCCCGCCCTTAGCAGCGCTCCAGCCCAGGGGCTCCAGCCCAGGGTTTTGTTCCTGGGTCTTCAGGGTGGACCACCCATTTCAGAGCAGGACTGAAAGGAAGGCGAAAGGGAAGGAACCGTTTGTGCCCTGGAGGGCTTGTGGGATGACTCACTCCTGTGAGACTGAGGGAGCAGGTAGGGGCAGAACAGACAAGAAGATGGAGTGGGAGGACCTGGGCCTACCCCTGGCGTGGGGAGGGACTCCAGTGAGAAAGATGGCTCAGAGTCGGGTCCTCACACTGGTGAGTGGGAGCTGCTGCCCTTTGATCCCAAGGCTTCTAAGGTGGGCTGAGAAGGCAGAGGCTCAGAGCAGTCACATCTGGCTGAGCCCACACCACAAGGCAGTGCAAATTCTGCAAGAGCTAGAGGGAGATTGGTGTCAACATACACCACCTCAGCATGCTCCTGTGGTTCTTGTTGCATCCCTAGGACAGGGCCTCCACTCTTTAGCCGGTGGCCTTTTATGACCTCAACCTTGCTTTAGACACTATATCTCCTTTGTATTCTCCCTTGGATTCCTTCTAAGCGTTGTGTTTTCTGATCAGCATCTTGCACTGTGGGTGTCTGACTCCATCTCCGACATCTCTATGACCCCTGAGGGTAAGGGCCAGGCCTGTCCTGTCTGTCTCCCCACCGAACTGTGACCCCTGCGAGTTGAGACCAGGCAAAAGGTAGGCCTCAATCCTTAAGACAAATCTACAGAATGGGTTGGGGTTGTGTAGCTCAGTGGCAGAACATGTATTTAGCATGTGTGAGGCCCTGGGTTCCATCCCCCTCACTACAAAAACAAACAAGTTCACTGAATGAATAAACAAATCAGGTGTGGAGGAGCCAAGTTCCTATGGGACTGGAGCTGGAGTAGTGAGCAGTATGGCCCAAGGGTAAATCTGGGTTCCATAAAGGTACTGCTGATCAGCACTTGGCACAAGAGGCAGGCAGGCGAGGACCTGTGTGGCCCTTTTGAATAATGCATGTGGAGTGCTCAAGCCTGGAAGGGGATGGATTTGAAAAGTGGAACAGCATGGTTCCAGAGCCGAAGGGGAGCATCCTGGGTTTGTATCCATTGTCCGTGGGGGTGCTAGAGGGTGGGCCCTGCAGCAGAGAGGGACACAGAAGGAGGAAGGGGCGTGGGGGAGACAGTGTTAGAGCTGCCTACAGGACTGCCTACAGGACCACCAGTGGGCTGAGAACAGGTCGCTGGGCTGGAGAAACAGCAAGTACGGCACTGCTGTGGGCTGCGCGCTATCCTGGCACTTGTCTCTAAGGGCTTGGCAGAGGCGGAAGGAAACCCAGGCGTGGGGACGTCCTGGGTCAGGAGGAAGCAATCTTGTATACAGTGGGACCTTCACCGAGAGAAGGGTATGGTCAGCTACACCTGGGCACTGCCGGAGCCTGTATGTGTTGGTCCTGGAGAAAGAGGGAACACGGGGCAGAGAGGAGATCTGTGGGACAGAATCCAGCAACAGCGTTTTGGGGACAAGCACAGATCACGGCAGGGATGGCGGAGCGGCTTCACAGTTACTAGAATGGTGGGGGGTGTGGGAGGTGCCTGTTCGGCCAGGTGTAGTGTGGCACTGAGGGAGGACCTCTCTTTCGTTTCCTTTCTTTCATCCATGTGCCTGCCCTGCTCTCCCTTTCTCTGTCATTCTGTTTGGCCTCAGCCTCTTTCTGGCCCTCTCAGACTCTCAGGGCTCGTGGCTTTGACCTTTCCCAGAGGGCTTGGCCTTTACTCTGAACTGGACTTTCACCAAGATTCTGTTTCCACCCTGGTCTCTGCCTGTAGCTCCCTTCACTGAGTCTTTCCCATTTACTCCATGTCCCCACCATCCAGGTCTCTCTCCCCCTCGTTCTCCGAGTCCTGTCTGTGATAGGACCATGCTGACCCCAGGCCTCTCACCCTGGCTCAGTCTTTCCTGTCTTTCTCCCGGTTGTGCCCTGGCTCTCATTCTTTTTTGCCATTCCTCAAGCCCTGTCTCTGTCTTTCCCTTCCTGAGGCTGTGGAACATCGGGACATCTCAGGCAGTCTCGCAGGGCAGCAGAAGGTGGGGTTTTCCCTTCCTTTTACTGTAACTACACCTTGTGGCCAGCCTCCTTCCACTGCCGGACTCCTGCCATCCAGAGGCCTTAGGAGGGAGGGGTAGGTGGGCAGTCCCCTGCAAAGGCTGTCAGGCCATCTGCATCACTGTCCCCATATGTCCATGGGGCACGGGTGCCTCCTGCTCACAATTCTTCTCTTCCCATGGTGCTGGAGCCTTTGTGACCAGTCCCCCCCTCCCCCCGCTCCTTTCCCCAGATCATTACCTCAGAGGAGGCAGAGCGGCGGGGCCAGATTTACGACCGCCAAGGCGCCACCTACCTCTTCGACCTGGACTATGTGGAGGACGTGTATACTGTGGATGCTGCCTATTATGGCAACATCTCTCACTTTGTCAACCACAGTGTGGGTACCCCTGGCAGGCGGGCAGAGGGTGGGGGGCAGGCCAGGGCCCCTCCTCACTATCCTGCTGTGTTTTTTGTTGCCTAGTGTGACCCCAACCTGCAGGTGTACAACGTCTTCATAGACAACCTTGACGAGCGGCTGCCCCGCATCGCTTTCTTTGCCACAAGAACCATCCGGGCAGGCGAGGAGCTCACCTTTGATTACAACATGCAAGGTGGGGGTGGCAGGGGCCTGGGAACAGGGGCAAGCAGTGATGTGGGATGTGAGGATCCCACCCCAAGGTACCCTGCTCACTTGCAGAACCAAGGGAAATTCTTTAGCCGGAGCTTTAAGATGCTCCTCCTGGTTCCCAGCTTCCTGTCCAGACTCCGGGATTCTTGCCCACATTCCCATCCCCAGAACCCCAACCCTGAGCCAGTCTCTCAGGACTCAGGGGCAGGGGTTTGGCTGGAGAGAGAAAGCCCCCCTGGCTCCATCTGGACTGAACTGTGCCAGCCCCTCCTCCCTCCAGTTCCCTTTGGGCTTCATCATTCCTTGTGACCTCCACCCAGTGCCTTCCTTGACGAATCAGTCACCTCAGACACTCAGGGTGGAGCTCATGCAGGAGAGGTCAGCTGCGCCTCTGGATGCCCAGGTGGCCCTCTATTCCTGACCCCCACTTGACTTGACCCTCCTGGTTCCCTGCTAGCCCGCACCTCCCCCAAGAGCCCTCAACCTGTGGTTTGAACACCCCTCCAGTGCTACGCGCTGCCTCGGCCCCAAAGCACCATCCCCGAGATTCCCCTCCTAACTCAGATCCTCGTCTCCTCCCAGCCCCCAAGATCTCTGGGTTCCTGGTATAAAGGGTGGCAGGGCATTTCATACAGGTCTTCTAATGAGTCCTCTCCCTCCCTCCCCTCCCCCCCACCCTGGCTGTGACTCCACAGTGGACCCCGTAGACATGGAAAGCACCCGCATGGACTCCAACTTTGGCCTGGCTGGGCTCCCCGGCTCCCCTAAGAAGCGGGTCCGTATTGAATGCAAGTGTGGGACTGAGTCCTGCCGCAAATACCTCTTCTAGTTCTGAGAAGTCTGAAGCTAGACTGACCAAGGGGGCCTGAAGTCACCCGCCCTCGCCCACTGCTGCCCTCCTGTTGGGGAACGACCCTCAGGCCCTCTCACCTGCCTCCACCTGCTCTGCCTGCTCCGCCTGCTCCAGGGTCAGGGCTTGTTGAGGACTGACTCCAGGAGTCCTCTCTGTGTTCCAGCCCCTGTGTGGGTTGTATTTACAAACCCTCACCGACCTTCAGAGTACATCGATCACATCAGATTTTCTGCAGTTAGGATTGGGGCCTATCGTGGAGGGCCAAGGGGTGGAGACCCAGCCTAGGGCCAGAGTAAAAGGATGTTTTCGTACCTGCTTCTGCCTGGAGCCTGAGGACCCTGCTGCAGGCTCCTCCCCTCCAACCCAGGGCAGGCAGACATCCAAAGGGAGGGTTCCCAGCCTCCCAGCCTCCCAGCTGCAGTGAAGCTGGTTGCCAGACCGCAGAGCCTTTGTACTAATGATGGGAAGGGGCCTCCTGGGTGGGGGACTGAGGCTGGACCTGCTCATCGTGCCACCGGTGCTGGCACTTAGGTCTGTGCAGGCTCCGTCAGAACTGCCCAGCTGAGAGGTGGACACCATGGGCCACTGGAAAGGGGATGGGTGCCTGTGGCCCACTGAGGAGTGAGCGGAAGGTGGTCTGACAGCCAGCCCTGGAGTGGGCTAGGCCGAAGTTCTGCCTGCAGGGAGCACAGAGAGAGTGTCCTGAGCCCTCAGGAGTGCCGAGGGTACTGAGAGCCCTGCCCTTGGCTGTGGTGACTGCTGGGGCTAGTGGAGCTGGAATCAGACCCAGATAGTTGTAGATAGCACTTAGGACAAGGATGTGCATTGGTTAGAAGCTGGTGAGGTGTCCGGCACTGGGTGGAGCACCTGGTCCACATGGATTGTCTCAGGGAAGCCTTGAAAACCACAGAGGTGGTTCCCAGGAAAAGGCCCATGTGGCACAAGGCAAAGTACTGTACAGTAAGTCTGCAACTTACGAACATTCGGGTTGTGAACTTTCACGGGTGTACTGTATAAGATTCACTCTGTCAGATCGTGAACGAACCTGACTTACGAACAGAATGGTGGGGGGAGCTTACCCACTAGGATACAGTGAGGCAAGAAAGCCCCTGCTGACCAACCCCAGCCTCCAGCCCTCTGCGCTCACCCCGGCCCCGGCTCTCAAAAATTAACTGCCTTCAAATGTGCAAAACGTGAAGCCTCGCCCCCTGCTTCCCCTGCTCCCCTAGCCCTGTAAGATCTTCTCTAGGAAGCCTTTCCTGATCACCTCTGCCCAGAGTGTCCCTCCGTGAAACTGCGCCCTGCTACCAGAAGCCAGATCCGTGTGTCTGTGTCTGTCCTGCTCTTGTCTCCCAGGCTGACTTTTAGGCGTGGGCTGAAGCTGGTTCTCCTCTTGTAAACCCCTCAGCCCTACCCAGCCTGGGGTGGGCACCAATAAACTGCGTGTTGACTAAAGAGACCCAGGTGTGGGTGATGGAGGGCAGGGAGCGGGGAGGATGGAAGGCCAGACCCAAAGCTGCCCAGGAGTGTAGTCCTCCAGCCTCAGCCATCTGAGTTTAATCCTTCCACTTTGGGCCCTCAAGGCATCCTGCGTGCACCATCCTCTACAAAATACCTTGACCGGAAATAAACTTGCTTCATATGTCCATGTGGCACTTAAAAAGCAAACTCACCCCAATGCTGTCTAAATGGATACACCATTATCATTTGCCATAAAACTAGCCGAACAAGTAAATGTAGTAGTGATAATGAAATGTGCTAAGATTGGAACTGTGCCCTCCCTGTTCTTAGATGCTTGGAACTTAAAGCCTGCCTACTGCATTCGAAAAGAAAATTTGCACACAGGTAATGGAGTCCCAAACAGCCCGGAGACCTCATACCCCTACCTCCAGAGAGCTCACACAGGGCACTAGGACACAGCCCCTCAAAAGCTCCTAGACCTCAGGCTATGGATATGGACCCCAAACCTCTTGGGGACGTCATCCCCTTGGATACCCACCTCCAGATAGCTCAGAGCTAGCACACCCAGACACAGATCCCAGGGAACTCGGGCTTCCAAACATCAGGGCCCTCACATGCAGGGATGGGGCAGAACCCAAACAGGGATCTTTACTTGTCTTCTGTGACAGAGATAAGCAAACACCTCAAAAACCTCATGACCTGAGATGTCACTTCCCAAACTCTTTGGAGCCTTCATGTCCTAACCGCCGCCTTCCAAACTGCTCATATTTCACATGCTGGGACAGGCTCCAAGTGGCTCAGATGTCACGGCCTGGGTGCAGACTGCCCGAACACCCGAGGGAGCTAATAGCTAAGGGTCTGAATCCCGACCCTTAAATGATTTTTTTCTCTTCCTTTTTTTTTTCTTTTCGAGATGGCATCTCATTTTATTGTCCAGGCTGGTCTTGAACTCTTGGGCTCAAGCAATCCTCCTGTCTCAGCTTCCCAAGCAGCAGGACTACAGGCAAGTGCCACTGTTCCTGGCTCCTTAAAAAGTACTACAACCTCATACTTTGGACACACTCCCCAATTGTTCAGAGATATTCTATAAACCATCACTAAACATCCCAGAGACTCGACTTTCTAGAACCTAATGCTACAAACAACTCAGATTTGTCTTAGACACAGATCCCAAGAATTTAGAGATCTCATAGCCTGGAAATAGATGCTGCTCAGAATTCATACCCTGGGAACAAATCTATATGCACCTTGGGGGCTGGGGATTTAGCTCAGCGGCAAAGCACCTGCCTGGCAAGTGCAAGGTCGTGAGTTCGGTTCCTGGTACCGGAGAAAAACCAAAACCAAAA